AAAAAAAAAAAAAAAAGAGCATCCAAGGCAAAAGGGAGGCAAAAGCAAAGTAACAAAAAGGTATTGTAAAATAAATAGGTGTTTGTGTGTAAATATGTGAGAGCTATACATGCATGGTTGCTCATGTGTTCAAAAATAAAAATAAATTAAAATGAGAAACTAAGGTTGTCATCTCAGTCTGCTTAAAAACAACGCATTCTTTCCTTCCCACACACATATTTTTGTTTGGTTATATACCCAAACACAGAAGGGTAGGCACTCATTCTTTGTCCAAAAGGGCCATTTTGTGGAGGGCCCCTTGAAAATAACCACACAAAATGTGTATTTTTCTATCCAATATTTGTTTTATTAATTATAATTTTACAGCTTATATCTCAACCGAGATGCTCGTCTACCCACACTGTTAGGCGCATCAACATGTGTCCACCAACCTCGTATCAAGATTAGGCTTGTAAACGAGCCGAGCCAAGCTTGAGCTCAAAGTGCTCGAGTGAGCTCGAGGTTCAGCTCGTTTATCAATACTAACAAGCCGAGATCGAGCTTTAACAAGTCGATCTCAGGTTTTAACGAGTCGAGCTTGAGACGAACTCAAACCTTAACGAGTCAAGTCGAACCAAGCTCACGAGCGTCTCATATCGTTTAACAACTCTAATCAAGATCCCGTACTCTTTGAATAATATATTCAAAGTGTATAGTATGCTAATTTTCTGTCATAATAGCTGATGAACATATTAACATGTTCCTACCGTGAACATAAAAAAGGACCTTACATCTCAAAGGCTAAAAGAATTAATATAAGTAACATAGTACAAACATCTTTGCATGGATGAGATGAGATTTGCTACCTCCATTTGGATGGTGGTCTAATTTCCTTTTCTGTCCCCAACAACTTTATATCTCCCTTTTTATCTTCTATGTATATTTGTGTGACTCCCAAATATATGTGTCTTAATCATCTCAAGTCTCTCATCAAAGGTCAAACACAAATAAGCATTGTGTCACATCCCATTTTAAGTGGTTCTCTTTTAGCAAAATTAATTCTTTGTTGGGAAATTTGAACTAGTTGAAATGGTACTTTGAGTTAAATGTGACTTTCACTCTCATGTAGCTTGTAAGATGAGGCATATATAAGTAGAAAAAAAAAAAAAAAGGGAAAGAGCTTGTGGTTAAATTTGGTAAATGGTAAAGATGGTAGTTTTGCAACTCAAGAAAATAAATAGACTATAAATGTTGTGCCTATCTATTTATTCAATTTCTTTGGCTTGTTAAAAGCATTTCACATACCCAAAATGAACCCTATCTCTTTTCCAGCCAAACATAAATGGATTGTGTAAAAATGAAACTACAAAGGTTTTACATATAGGTCTCACGTTTTGGCCACTTAGAGAAAACCTTCTTGCTCCTTGATGAGAATAGGCTTAACATGTTTTAGCAAAATATATAACTACCAATTGACATTGTAAGAAACGGGGAGAAACGAGTGCGGTCTCACGCATGTGAAATGCACCATAAACAGGGAAAACCTAGATGAAACCCAAGTTAAGTTCCATCCAAAAACCAATTGCTTGAAGGAGGAGTAGCCCATTAGACTTATAAATTAGACATATTTTTCATATATAAACGATGTGGCACAACTCACAAGTGAATATTCTAATACGCTCCATCACTTGTGAGTACTTAATAAGAGCCCAAGCCCATATACGAAGTTGGGTTCTCAAGCCCTACTAGAAACAGGCTCCCATAAACGGGCACGTGGGGAAAAACGGGTACGTCATCGCACGGTTCCAATAGAACCGGCTCTGATACCATGTAAGAAACAGGGGAAAAACGGGTACGTCATTGCACGGTCCCAATAGAACCGACTCTCATACCATGTAAGAAACGGGAGAAAAAACTGGTGCGGTCCCACATACATGAAGCGGACTAAGACAGGAAAAGCTCAGATGAAGCCCAAGTGAGGTTATATCTCAAAACCAATTGGTTGAAGAAGAAGTAGTCCATTAAACTTACAAATTAGACCTATTTTCTCTATATAAACGATGTTAGACAACTCACAAGTGAATATTCTAATAGACATATATGGTTATATTTTTACAATTGCAATCCAACTACTTTTGCAATAGAATTTTTCAGAACACAAAAATTCTCTGAGAACAAATTTGTTGTTTTTTCTTTCACTAAAATGAATCATACAATTACAATCCAGCAAATATATTTAACAGTGAAAAAATCAAAATAGTAACATTATTTCGACCAGCTATTGTGCTTTAAAAATCAACAATACGAATCTCTGCTTAACATTGTGCAATGCCTTCACATGTATACAACAATGCATTTGATCAAACTCCATAAGAGTGGTAAAAATGTTTCACTGCTGTGATTCCACCTGCTCACACAAAAATTTGTATCGAGCGTGGATTAACTTATTTTTCGAAGTGATGAACTTCTGTTGTTAAGATCGTAAGCGTAACAAGAAACGCATTGCAAAATATTTTCACTTTTACGGTCATATTATGCACTAATATCAGGCTGAACGTGAACATGATTTTTCATCAGGATTCAAGCAGCTAGCAATGGCCTAGGCAGAACATTGGAAAGAGCTTTTAGTATGATATTTTCAAGATCATCACATATATATACTATAGTTATTTATTCAAGATATTTTCAAGGTAAAGCTTTCTTGAGTTCAGTAATACAATGCCTGTCTAAAACCAGAAACCTACACCACACTCTGCAGTTAATCGAGCAACTCGTTTAACTTCCTAGAACATATCCATGTTGTTTGCCTGGACATTAGTGACGAACAAAATTAAGATACATATCTCCACATCACATTCGAATACTTATCGGGTTTCCTTTACATGAAAGTTTACTTAATTGGTTGATCTATTGAAACTTTTATGACTGGAAAACTAAACACATTGTAACAGTCTTGTACACTCCGCAAGCTATCTAACACTTGTTATCTCTCGTCTTGCAAAAGAAGCCTCGTTTGCTTCTTCCGGACAATATTAACTTCTATTTTCAACCAAACACTAAGCAGCAAAAAAAAAAGCAATCTTGATAGGCAGAGGATAGTCTTACTTCAATCTTGATCTATGAAACTTTTATGATTGGAAAACTCTGCGCATTGTAACACTCAGAGTACACTACGCAGACTAACAAACAGCTATTATCTCTCGTCTTGCAAATGATAGCCCATTTGCTTAATGTGTGTTTAATAGGAAAAAGGACATCAAAATGAGAGCCTGGCCAAGAAAAAAGTGAAGCTCATAACAAATTACCTCGTCAGCTACGCCACCATCGTCAATTCGCTCTGGTTGCTCAGCCCTAGCGACGGCCGTGATCACCGGCGGGATACCACTTGCTCTCACTTCCACTTTGAACCTCGACTTGATTTTGTGGGAATCTCAGCTGAGCGCGACGGCGCAGGTTAGCCCGAGAGCAGAACGATAAGAGTGAGGACATAAAAATAACTTGACGAGAGAAAATATAATTTAATTGAATTATTTAATTATTATACAAATAATTATTTAATTATTATACAAATAATTGAAAAATGAGAAAATGTGAAAAAAAAACTTGTAACAAATAATTGGGGAAAAAACATAAACAAATAAT